TCAATACTGCTATATGCGTAAACAAACACAGTCGCCAATGGCTAATTAATAGTGATATTGGATACGATTATTATAAGCGCATATTCATAAGTAATTTGCCCCGATTAGTGTTAAATTTAAACAGAACAATGAGCCCGCTTCCTATTTTGTAATGATGGTTATTATTATTAACGGTGTCATTATTATTAAGTTTTTTTGGTTGTATAACGTTGTGTGTACTTTATTTTGTTAGATTAACCAGGATAAACGACATAAAAAATCATCATTTTATTTATGGCTTGATTATTGCTAAGAGTTTTTAAGAAGTAGAAATTTATCAATATATTATTTTGATCAACGTTGATTCGTAATCAACAATCTTTGGTTGTACTATGAAGTACTAGCTTTTTTTTTAAAATAAATGTATTTATAGAATTTGTTTACTATTTGCAATGCCTATAGCGTGTTTTGTATACGATAAATGTCCGTGGGAAAGAACCGAAATAGCAAATGAATTGGTCGGAAAGAAAAATAAAGAAAATTTACCCTTGACCTAACTCTTATATGTCACGCACCGGGTATTTTTCCCAATGTAACGTTATCATTGACCGTAGTTCAGTATATTTTTCGTGTTAGTCGATGAAGTTTTTGAGCTGTTAAATTTGCCTACAGTGGCTCATTTGATTTGTCGTTTAGTCATAAACTGAAATGCTTTATTTAAGTAACATCACATAGAACGCTTCATTATTCTTATACTCTTTAGGACGTTTCATAATAACTATATATAATATATATTTGTAAAACTGTATAATTTCGGTTAGACTTATAAATACTATAACTTAATGTCAATTATTGTTTACCAAACGAGGCTACTGTTTTCAGTTACGTTTGCAGCTCACCCAGTGTGGACTGAATAGCAGTCGTTCAATCTCTAGAGAGGTCAAGGTTTTTTTTTGTCCCCTTATTAATGTATTCTTTTTTTATTGTCTTATTCAACCTCGGTTCGTCGTGCTCCATTTGATTTTCTATTTGTTTAAATCTTCCGGATCTTAATCAAATTTTTTGGAAAAGGTAATGACTTACATACGACAACCATAATATTACTAAATTGTAATTTAGGTTTTACAATAGTTGAATGCGCCTGTATACATTCGCCGCGTTAACCACCTTGGCCACACAGGGTGATTCTTTTAACACTAGCCACTCAATTTCTCTTGGAATAATCATGTTTTTTAGCTTTTGTTAGTTGTATATGTTTTTTTTATTTATTTATTATAAAATAATATTTATGTTCATCCCTTAACGGAATGTCAACTTAATTTTTTTAAATAGATACATTCATATTTAACTAGCTTATAAAATAGTAAATGATCTTCAAAAATGACTGGTCGATAACAACTTTTGGACTAGCGTTTCAAAATTTATTAACATTTTTATACCTAAGTGGGAGGAGAAGTGAGGCCAAGAAATATTTAATAATAAAGATAGCAGCACCCATTCTTTACCACCTATCATTAGTTTAAATTATAATAACCTCTGAAATACTGGTCCAAAAGTTGTTATAGACCAGTAATTTTTTTAATAAAATAATTTTCTGCTTTATAAACTAAATAAATATATATGTTTCCATTAAAAAAAATAAACTACTATAAAACATAAAGGATGAACATAAATATTATTTTATAGCAGATATATAGAAATACGTATGTTAGTAAAGAATCGCCTTGTATAGTCAATGCACAAATTATAATTTTCTTCTACATCTCAGTCTTTAAATTCGTTTTATTGGCTTGACGTTAAGCAATCATACACAATCGAAAATCACCCCGTTTAAGTGTTTATTCATGATGGTCAATTGTATAATTTTGTCCAAAAAAAAATTCCCTACAGTATTGACATAAAACCCATTAAACGTTTAACTTTATTGTGGTAATAATTTTTCATACGCTGTCATAGAATATTTAAACACACCATTCTGCATGTTACTACAATTCCCTCTAGTATTAGCATATATTTTTTGTACTGTGATCTTAATTTCAAATAATTATTTTACCGAATACGAAAATTCTCAATACCTTGTTTGGTAGTGATTCTGTTAAAGTTATGCATTTTTATTTTCAATTCTTGAGTTCCTGTGGGCCAAACATTTTTTAATATCTGTTNTTTTGTACTGTGATCTTAATTTCAAATAATTATTTTACCGAATACGAAAATTCTCAATACCTTGGTTGGTAGTGATTCTGTTAAAGTTATGCATTTTTATTTTCAATTCTTGAGTTCCTGTGGGCCAAACATTTTTTAATATCTGTTTTTATTTATTTAAAAACAAAAGACATTAGAAAAAATNTTTTTATTTATTTAAAAACAAAAGACATTAGAAAAAATAAAAATACACAATAAAGAAATGCATTTTGTTTCGTGTTCTTTTTCGTTTATTATTAGATAATTATTGATCATTAAAACATTTTTTTAATTCTATTAAATTACAATGTAAATATTTATTTATAGTAACCGAAAACACTTTCAAGTCAAAATATCTTTAAGTTGTTACTAATGACAACTTAAAATCGATTCCAATTAATTGGGTGTTTTCCTAAAGGTTTGCATAAACTTATAACAATAAGTTTTGTTGTGAATTCCAGCACCTATATAAATACCCTTCTGGTTGTTTCTCAACAAAAGCTCGTGATTTATTGTTTAGATTTATTACCAAACAATTCAAATAGAAAATAATTTAAATCGAAAAATTTATTTTTAAAAACCTAATATGTCTAATATGTCTAATATGCCTATTATCATTAAACCGCTTATAAAGTATAAAAATGGTATTGTAAAGTATTACACTTTGGCTAAAGATTATGAAACTCACTATTATTGCACTTATTCTACTACTAATTGTTGGCATATAACTTGCACTGATAAGATTAACTTCGGACTGGAGATAATTATCCCTCTAAATGAAGCACACAACTGTTTATCATCAATATATGAAGATTATGTTTTAATGGAAAGTTTATTAAAAAACTTCTAATATATTTTTTTTAAAAATTTCAAGTTATTCCATTTAACCTTTAGAATTTTCTTTTAATCAAAACTCTGATATGGAATATTTAAAATATTTTACCAATAAAAACCATTAATTGACATAAATATGTGGTACTATATAATTTTTGTTGGTTATTATAAAGAAAAATTGACAGAAGAAACTGATCTTGACTATAAGAATAGTTATAATGATTGGACAGTACACTATCGATACCATTTTGTAGTATTAATATTATGGAACCAGACATATGCTTTATCATGCCTGTTTTACTCCGTCACTCAATGTCAGACTAAAAATTCTCATCTAAAAATTCAGCTGTCAATTTCAATTTGAACTAT